GTCTGTCTGTCTGTCTGTCTGTCTGTCCGTCCATCCGTCCGTCCGTCCATCCGTCCATCCATCCGTCCATCCATCCATCCATCCATCCATCTATCTATTTTTGCCCCTGCTCTTAATTTTTTGATGGTATTGTTGTATAGGTTGTTTTTCATTTTTGAACCTTCCTTCTTTCCATTAAATATGCTTTAATGCTTTTCACATTTTGATTTAAATACATGCCAACTGTTATGGTTTGTTATATATCATGAAAAGAAGTAAAAAATGAGTGATTGTAAGCAAATGAATGTGAGTACAGATTGGCTGGTGAGGTTGGTGGCTTGTAGTGTCACTGTTATTTATTTTACTTTGAACAGTCCTATTCTCATTGTATTCAAAAAGTAATCAAGCCCTCATGAGCAGTGATTGGTCATTACTGAACAAGAGAGCTGAGACGGGTGAAGCAAAGCTGATATCAGGTATGATCAGGCAGGAAGGTGAGCTAACAAACCAGTTAGCAAGAAGCAAGTATAGATGTCATTTTGGTCAAACGTTGAGTTGCTCAAACTCTGAAGAGCCAATTCAGACTGGGAAACTTTATACAGTGAGATGAAGTCCCAATGATTTTTTGTCATCCAATCTTGGTAGGTGACAAGTGAAGTGTTGGACTGCAATACTTCTTTCTGGTCATTTACACCAGTGGTTCCAAACAGCTTGAACAGAAGGCTAGCAGCTCCCTCTTCTGGTGAGGTAGCACACAGAGTAAGGTAGCTGGGCCTGAGCACCCAGCTCTGTGGTTTGAGATTTGTGCTGCAGTTGAATTGGAAAAAAATTCCAGCATTAGAAATGTGACTTGTTATTGCCTGTGTGGTTTTTGAATGCATGCATACACATATGCATCATGCACACAGCCTTACAAGTTAAATTGGAATTTTCTTCTTTTGATTTTGAGCTTTTTCAGATATTTCAGAGTGATATAAAAAAAATGGACTTTGTGTTTTATCTTAAAGTCTTAAAGGCAGGGCAACAGGCAAAAGAGCTAATGAGAGATGGACAAAACTACACTGGTCTACCTCCTTCTTTTCTTGCTCCGTCAGGGTCTGAAGGCCTAAGACAGATTTGGTTTGGAAATGTATGCTGTGCTTTAGTGTGAGCACATAGGAGAGACTTTTCTAAATTGTCTGCGTAACAATCATCTGTACTAAAGCCAACCTGAGAAATTTGCTGCCTGAAATAAAGTAACAAATGGCCCTTCCCAGTCCACTGCATTATATCCTCTTCCAACTTGGCAAATGTGCATTCTGGGAATTGCAGTCCTAGCCCAACTGGAGGTGCTAAGTTGCAAGAAGCTGCCACATAGGTGTTCAAAGCTAGTTATGTTAATTTACCAGCTGAGAATATTTAAATAAAAGTATGTGAATACAAAAGGTGATACTCACATCAGTAATTTTTTGGAAGGGAGATGCTGTTTCTGATAAAAAGTTAACTAATACTATTCATTCATTCATTCATTCAAATTTATACCTTATTTTTCCATTCCTAGGGAACTCAAGATACCAAATAAACAAAACACAATATTGATCACCAGTTACAGGAAGTTACTGTGGTATTAGTAGTATTTTTATTTGGTATGTACATGTATCTAACAGCAGCACAAGATCTATTTTTTTTTCTTCCACAAAAACTGTCTCGTTTTTCTGAGACAGTGTCTAGGCTAAAGCTACCCAATGAGTTTCTATGGCTGAGGATGGACTAGAACCACACTGGGAAAGGTGGTTATTGTGACTACAGGTGATATAACCAGTTACAGAATCTAATGGACAATTCCTTTTCCATAATCTTTCACATGTTGGATTACTTGTTTATGAAATAATGAAATAAGCATAAACTTTGATTTTATTTGTTCATTCTGACCCACTTTATATATTGATAGAACCCACATGAAATTCTGATGGCATTCAGTGACAAGCGTATGCAAAAATCCAAAATGAAACAAACACTTTTTCACACAGTTTGCTGCCTTTTCATGATTCTAAACATTTATAGTCACAAGATGGCTGCCTTAATCTGACTCCAGCCTGTAATGTACTTCAACTATTTTTTGTATCCTTTCTAGCTTCACAATATTTTTATGAGTATTGAGTAGCATCTAGAACTGTACCCAGGATTTCAAGTGTGGTTGAGCCAAAAATTAATAATGTGGCATTACATAAGTAGCATAATGGGGAAAAATTACAATCAAATCTAGACATTGACTTCTAGATTGTTGGAGAATTCAGAATTGCTTCTCTTCCTGTAACATGTGGTAATACTTGAATGTTGCATTTTTCACACTTGGAATCACCCTGTGGCTATCTTTTCAGCAGTGACTATAGCAAGTGGACTGTTAGTTGATGGAGTTGTGAACAACTGAGGATAAAAGAGAAAATTTAAATAAAAGTATGTGAATAAAAAAAGTGATAATTATGTCAGTAATTTTTTGGAAGGGGTTTAATCCAGAATTTCTAATAGAAACTATTATTTTAAAGATAGCAATATTTTAGGAAGTATTATGCTTGGAACAAAGGCAGTGCTTTTAACATTTACTGATATATAACTTCCCTTCCCTTCCCTTCCCTTCCC